CCCCAAAACCCCAAAACCCCAAAACCCCAAAACCCCTTTAAATTTTTAAAAATTTGAAATTGTTGTTAAGATAATGCAGTCACGAAAAGTCAATAAAAAGTTTAAGTCTCGGACATGTAAAGAGAAATTTACTCAGAACAAGGACCAAGAAGATCAAACTGATAAAGAATTAATAAAAATTACTGAAAACATTGAGGTTCCAGACGGTGATTCAGATGACAGCATCAGAGTCTTTTACCAAAGTAAGCTTTCCAGAGTTTTCGCAGAAATTTAGTTATATTTACATTGATATAGGTGAAAGCAAGGACGAAGTATCATCAAACAAATTCCATGTAAGGAGTTATAGTAATATTCATGATCAGAATCATATGTTTAATGAACCATATTCTCCATACCAATCTCACTGTGTGTTTATGACTCCTCATTCACGAGACAAGTCAGAAAACGACAATGATATTTCTGAGTCTCAGCTTGTGACACCTAAGGATTCGAATGGTAATTTAGTACTGAACTTTGTAGAGAATCCTGCTCAGGGATGTACCAAACTGATCCCAGGGAAGATATGGAACACTCGGCTTAAGGATTATTTGAATCCTTCCGACTTAAAACAACGGGCTACTCCTAATAAACCTCTGAAGTTCGATATTTCAGAAAAGAAAGAACGTTCACAAAAAGCTGAGGAATTTTGTGACCAAAGAATTTTCCATGAAAACTTTACTACTCGAGAGCCTCGAATTGAGAAGGGCAAAAAGTCCAGAAGAAACGCGAGCTTAGAAATAATGCTTGAAAATGGGAAGATTAATAGCCATAGAAACATGCATAAGAGTTCGTTCAAGGCTTCAGACCAGGGATGTTTTGAAGTAAAAGATTTGAAAGTGACAAAATAATATGATGAGCACTATTCAGAAAAGAACACGGGCTGCTGTAAAACAAGCAATGCAAGGAGAACAGAAGGTGGGGGTTAAGAATTTTAAAGTGCTTTCACCAGCTCAAAAGAAAAGAGGTAACAAGCAGAACTTGAAGAATGCAAAATCTAGGGATAAATTCACTAATATTGAACAGGTTAAGCTTGAGGGTGGCAAGAATAAAGTGAGAAGAGTTTCACAAGATATCATAAATACAAGTATAGTAGATTGTCAATTTTCCAATTTAGGTATGAAGACAGGCTCTATTAAGAGTTCAAAGAAGTCTATTGGAGGATGTCAGAGAGAAATAACCAGCTCCAGGATGTCACATGGAAACTCCCAGAGAATCAGCCTGTGCTCCAATAGGAAGAAGAATTTAGACTCAAATATTTTGTCAATCAATTCGAACTTGAATATTATCCCTTACAAGGAGTTTGATATTAAGGGCAATTTGAACCAGCTTGATATATCTCCAGAGGAGTTTACAATAACCGAATTAAATAACCCTGATGAAGATACTATGGCTAAAAGTAGCTCTGTAGTAATCTCTTCGATAGCTGGAAAGACCAGCAGCCATGCTGGAGAATCCTCTGAAGAGTATCAGCACAAGGTTGAAGATAAGATTCCGCATCAAACTCTTTCCAAGGTAAATTTGGCTCATTAAATTTTATAGAAAAACACTGTGCTGAATTCTGTTAGAAGAAAACTTAATGAATACTATAACAGAAAGGCTGCTCCAAATAAGACAAGTTCTCCACCAATTATCATTGAGAAAATAGAAGGGTATAATGAGCAAGATGAAGCTAAAATTATTGAAACTGAAGAAGCTGAAGAAAACAGCCTATTCATGCACAGAAATAAAGAAAACAAGGAGATATCTTCTATTGATATTACAAATGGAATTGGAGAAATCTCTGATTTTAATTCTGAGGAGAATTACATTCTTCAGGCTAACATGTTTTCAGGGAAGACACCTAGTTTTATTACAGATAGTGAGACTTCTTCTGGTGAGAAAGGGACTAAATTCATTCAAAAATTTAAAAATCCTACTATTCCTCTAGCTTCTAATACCAATGCTCAACAAAGACCAAGATTGAACAATAAGAAGCAGGCTAGGCCACCGCCAAGATTGTTGAATAAGTACTTGTATGAGCCTTCAACATAGCTAAAAGTGCTAAAGTATCTTTATTCCTAATGACCAGTCCTGGTATTAGTCACCCTCAGGCTTGGATGAAAAATAAATTGAATAATTTCAATATCGTGGAAGAATGTCGGGGTTTTGGGGTTTTGGGGTTTTGGGGTTTTGGGGTTTTGGGGTTTTGGGGTTTTGGGG